CTATTTGCCGCCTTTCATTTATGGAGAGTCACACATTCGAATTTAATTTCTGACATCAATCATTATACTGTCATAGCTGATAAACTCACAATTGTCAGTTTTTCGTTAAAATTTTCAAACCATTATTTTTTTTACTTCGTGATTGTCGTGTTGAAAAGAGGGATGGCTTATTCCTTGGAGCAGAATACATTTATTGTAATGTCTTATTGTCGAAATGGCACATTTATCAATGGTGAATGGAGATACTCGGTAGTAGCCTGCAAGGATGAGTACCTGGCGAAATATCCTAATATACAGATTCAAGAATCTTCTTTGAAAGCCCACGTCAGAACAGTGATCAATAGATTCATTCAAACTGGAAACGTTTATAAAAAGAAATCAACAGAAAGGCTCCAAATATAGGAAGAAGTTGTCGAAAATCTAAGGGCACGTGTTGAGCAAAATCCCCAATCGTCATTGAATAGATTATCTTTACAATCTGGTGTGCCAGTACATGCCATGAAGTGCTCAAGAAAAGATTGCATATGCAACTTTACAAGACCAGTGTACTACAGCAACTTCTGCCAGTAGATATCCCACGTCGTCTGTATAGTACTGCCAATGGTTCCAAAATAATCTCAACGATGACCAGCTATTAGACCTAACATTTTTCAGCGATGAGGCTTGGTGTTATTTGTCGGGATACGCGAACTCACAAAATTTTAGGTTTTGGAGATCTGAGAATCCCCACAATCTCATTGAGACTCCACTACATTCTCAAAAAATTGGGGTGTGGTTAGCAGTTTCTCGTAGGCGAATATATGGACCGATTTTCTTCGATGGCACTATCAATGAAGAACAGAGAAGTGATGTTAGAACTAGAACCATTCATCAATCAACTTGATAAAGAAATTCGAGTTGGCTATTTTCAGCAAGATGGGGCCACTGCCCACACCACACGTGCAAATTTAGAATATTTACAAGAATTTTATGATAACCGTGTGATGAGTCGAGGAGTTAATCCTTCTTTTTCAACACGTTCTCCAGATTTGACGCCTTTGGATTTCTGCCTTTTTGGATATTTGAAAGACGAAGTATTCAAGAGAGCAATAATAACCTTGAAGAGCTGCAAGCCTCAATAACACATTGCTGCCAAAATATTGGCCCGGAAATTCTGAGGATCATTTTCGACAACAAACGGCGAAGAGTTTTGAAATGCTTGGAGAACAACGGAAAACATTTTGGACATTTGATGTAGGGTAATGAAATGAATCGTTATTTATTACTTCTTCAATAATTTTTTTGGATTTGTTCCATTATTTTTCAAACTCCAATATTGGACTCTCCTTTCTTTGAGATACATTTCCATAGAGTGTATGCAAAATGATATAAAAAAATATCATGTATATAAGCACTTCCTCTTTATTTGGTCGTTAAATGTTGTTAACAGCATTAGTAGAAAGCGGCAAATGGAAAAAAATTTCAACAGCCACTATACGATGTTACGATCATTTATAGAGACCCTGTAGTTATATCCCGAAAAAAAGAAGTCAGATTCTTTCCGTTGGGAGAGAGTAATTTATAAGAAGTGAAATTTCAGAACCTGTCAATAAAGATGAAATGTTCAATTTTTTTCCCGTCTCAGAAAGAACATATATTATCATCGAGCAAGATAAGGTATTTTCAATATCTAGGTTTTAATCCTCTATTATTCAGCTTCAGCAGTTGTATCTTTATTAGTTATAGTTTTTTTTTTCACAAACGTCACTGTTCCACTATTCGATACAGAAATGATTGGCGGAGTTGTTGGTTCAACATAATATAAGTTATACAGAGTAGCCGGCCAAAAACTCTCATGTGAAGGTATGCAAGATATCAAATGTGAAGTGTTATGAAACTCACAGGTCTTTAAATTTCGGATAATTATATCATCAGGATACGTATTACCAGATATGAAATATATCCGAACCCTACGACTTTGTCAGCAAACCCAACTATCTATTTAATAAAAACAGTATCCCTGTCAGTTGATACTACACTGAAGACTACGTTATTCATATGAATGTGGGTTCTTCATAAAATCGATCAGATACTGATTCATGAAGACATAAATAAACACCGATGACAGAACTTGACAACTGCCCAGCAAACACAATAAATTATGTGAAATTGACATGAGTGTTTCATAACTGATAATACGTGTTATGTAACTGTTATGTTATGTAAACCTTAAATCACAGCTATGGCGAAATGTCCGCCACAAATACCATATCACTTTCAAGTAACAATTTGGTCACTATTTCAAACGTATTTTATATAATTTCATTGCTATAAATATAATGTTACGAATATAACAATAAACTGACATAAATATTACATACCATTCTCTAGATGTTATGTTAAATTCACATCCCTATTATTTGAAAATGTCATATACAAATATAACCCCATTTTTATATAATATCGATGAAATTACTTGACTAATATCCGAAATGAATATCAAAATTTCACAAATGACCTCTTCACCACACCAACTCACTTCACAGTCATATTATCTATACTAATATTATCTGATGATGATATATGGTTATAAAATTGTGCATATGAGTTGGAAGTGGGCTAGTGTGGGGAAGGAGTTATTTGGCAATTTTTGATTGTGTGGGAAAAATGTACAGAGACAGATTAGTCATGAAATACTTGATGGTTCATTATTTCCTATTCCATTTAGTATTTACTTCAATCATCCTCACGTGGGACAACACAACTCTGCTCCAAACATTACGCATCATGGTATACGTCAGAGTACAGCATTACTCTATCCAAATGAAGATTAAGCAGGGCTTACTCTGAGTAAGTCTCTGAACGATTGTTAATGCATACTCTGAACTGCTAGAGTGAGTTTATGAACGCTTTGTAGTGAGCAATCCTTTCTCAGAGTAAGTTCATGAATGCACCCCATGGCGAACCTCATGGATAATCAACTGGTAAAATGTATTATGTAACCCCCCCCCCTATGGGAAGAACTCTCGTTTATTCTATTCCTAGTTATCAACTTTTTTATCTCTGGAATTATATTCTTAATTAATAGAATAGAATGTATCTCTAGTAGTATATGAAACATATTTCCAAAATGAGTACCTATATAATTATATATTTGTATATATACCAGGTGGTCCATTTGAGACTATCCACCCTCGATATCTCTCAGAATTATAATTTTACGAAAAAATGACGAAACAGGTCGATTTTTATATGGAGGGGGACACCTTCTGACGCAAAGTAAATAATCCTTACTTGAACCCTCTCCTCCCCAGAGCAACCCCCTCAATAATTTGAATTGGGAATAAGGGTCGTGTATACACCACTGCGAAGGTAATTCGATTCTGAAACTAGCAGCGGAAAGTTTTTTGAATTCCAACAAGTCGTTCTCGAGATATTCGAGTTCGAATGGTATGTTTTTAAATTGTGAGTTAATGAATGTAAATAATAGATTATTGAACAGGTTATCACAAAAGATGTTCAAAATGACCTACATTGACCCCCAGACAGTCTATTTGAAAATTCCTCTTGTACGTTTGAGAATGTTTCTCTTGATATTGCCTGGCATTCAGTTCTTATTCTTCTCTAGTAGGTTCCGTTTTATGAATCACCGATTTTGAATGACCTCATAGGAAGAAATCATTGGGTGCTAAGTCCGGCAGACGTACTGTTCATTCTATCGGTCCTCTACGGACCTCTATGATGATGGTAATCGAAATCTATTGGCAGATAATATTTATTTTCAACAAGATAATGTGTTGAAAAGGAATATTCTCAGATAAATTATGAACATACAAAAATGGATATATATTTATATAAAGCAATACATTGAGAATTCGCATTCTCTATGTGATGAGAATATTTACTCTTTTTCAGTTAATTCAATAGAAAACAACTACTTTCCTGGCTATATGCCATGACGAACATTGAATTATATCTATTGAACACACACGATAAGAGTTTGAAAATAAAATATAAAAACTTCTGAAATTGAGAATTTGCATTCTCCTTCAGACAAAAATATGTATATACACACATCATTCTGAATATTCAACAGAAAACAACTACTTTCGTGGCTATTTGCCACGTCGAACATTGAATTATATCTGATGAACATTCAAAAGGAGAACATGAAAAATAAAGAATTCATTTCCACGCACTGTATGATGAATGTCAATTTATCATACACCCAAAAGCAAGATAATGTGTCACCTCATTCCGTTCCACAGGTGAGAGAATGGCTACCCCGAAATTTCCCAAACAAATATGGCCAGCACGCTCGCCGGACATGGCACCCAATAATTTTTTTCTTTGGGGTCATCCGAAATGCGTTATTTATGAAGCGGAATCCACTATAATCTGGACGATAAGTTAATAATTAGGGTTGAATGCTAGGAAATAACTAGAGAAACATTTCAAATGTGCAGAAGGAATTTACAAATAGATTCTACCACTGTCTGGAAGTCAATGAAGGCAATTTTCAACATTTATTGTGGATAACCATTCAATAATTCATTCCGTACATTCATTTACTCGCAATTAGAAAACATACCATTTGAACTCGAGTATCTCGAGAACGACTTGTTGGAAGTCAAAAAACTTTACACTGCTAATTTCAAAATTGAATTACCTTTGCATGCAATGATGTTTAATACGATCCTCATTCCCTATTCAAATTATTGAGGAGGTTGGTCTGGGGAGTAGAGGATTGAAGTATGGATTATTTATGTCGCGTCAAATGGTGTCCCCCTCCATATAAAAAATCGACCTGTTTTGTAACTATTTTGTGAAATAATAATTCTGGGAGATATCGAGGGTGGATAGTCTCAAATGGACCATCTGGTATATAGTTCCAATGTATGCAATAAACGTATAATCAAATTATTATTATCATATTATGAAGGATATAGTTTTCTGAGAAATCTCGAATATTATTTTTGTCCTTTGTATTAAAAACAATCTGCTAGAAACGGTATACTCACCTCCTGGTCCTTCCTGAGATAAAGGTTGTTCAGTTTCATCTGTCGTTACTGCACCTATCACCAATTCTTCCTCTTCAACTGATGCGGACTTTTTGATTGCACTCTTGGCACTTCTGGCAGCTTCCAAAGACACTCCCGGTGGTTTGATTATTGATCCACTTGTATCTATAAATTTGTCAGTTGTGAATTTTTGGGGTCTAACCGTTACCACCGATACAACAAGGCCAGCAGACTCTGACGTAAACAGCTCATGACGTCACCAAGAGAGGCCAGTGTTTTATTTTATCGCTTGTCGACTAACGCGTCAGTTGGTGTTAGTTCATCGGTGATTCACGTATGTTTTTGAAACGGTCCGAATTCTTTTGTTGTTTATTCATCAAAATAATTGGCGGAAAAATTACTGTTTTGTGAAATATTTTGTGTTGTGATCGGCAAAATAACAATGCCTTTCAAGTGTTGTGTTCCCTTTTGTCGGGCGAATTATGTGGGTGGTTCAAAAGTTCATGCTTTTAGTTTCCCGTTGGACGAGGAGCTATCGAAAATGTGAGTATATGCAATTCACCGCGAGGATTTTACTCCATCTGAGTTTAGTAGTGAACAGAGCTTAATCTATAATGATGAATTAATAATAGATTACTCTCTCATAAAAAGTATAAGTAGAGGAAAAATAGAAAAGCTTTGATTGTGCAGTTAGTTTTGTATTAGTATATTATAGTCAACAAAATTATCTCTGAATTCGAGGAAATTTTCTTGAATGTTCATATTAAACGGGCATTTTTAATTTTCATTCTCAAATTTCTTTCTGAAAATGGTTATTCGCCTCGTGGCAATGAATGCAGAATTCATTCCAATGATCAAATTGCAACTATCATATCAACATGAACTACAAACAAAAAGGTAAAACTGCATTTATCATGATATTTATCATGAAGATATTTGACCAAAAAGTTCCAAATTTCACCTTCTTTTTCACCTGTCTTCTGGATGGCATTTAGAACAAATTTCCCTTCTTTTTCATCATATTGGACAATTTATATATAATTCAACTATAAATATGATTTTCTTGAGATTAATCCATATTTAGTGAAAAGAAGGAAGAATATCATTCAAAATAATGGCGTGTGTAATGTCATTCGAAAGCAATCTATTGACATTTAACATCTCGTATTTTGATTGACTATTGATTAAATGGTCGTCATCTGGAATGCTTGTTCACTAAATATGAAAAACTCGCCATAAGAATCATATTTCCTGTTGAATTTTCTATATGAAAATGTGCCATCGAAGTACATCATGAGTATATAAAGTGTCCAATGACAAAATAAGAGCAAGTAGCTTCAAATGCCCCCAACACAAGGGGAGAAAGAAGGCGAAATTTCGAGTTTTTTCTTGAAATATCTCAATAAATAGAGGTTTGTTCACATTCTCATTATAAAATTCGGTTTATCAGACAAAAATACGTGAGTACCGAAAAAAATTTTCAAAAAACAATCATCGCATGATAAATGCAGTTTTACCCTTAAAAATTACGGTTTCAAGTGTAACGATCCACTTGGGTGAAAAATCCAACAACAGAAAATTTAAAACACTCACTGGTTATTTTTTCAGGTAATAGGAATTCTCCAAGATAAATATAGGTAATTGTAACAAACGGCATGTCAATCAAAATAAAATACAATTTCCACAATTTTCTTTCGATCAATCTCACGATAAGTTTATGTTCTGCGGGCCCTGTATAAGTAGGTGTGAAATTTACCTTGCCAATATATTTAATTCGAATGGGTTGCTGTAGGTGGATATTTGTCTTTTATCCTGGTTTTTGCTTTAAAACTTCGTTTTTCCATAATAAAATCGAATGGGGTGCGAAGAAGGGCTCAGTTGACGACTGGCATCCTTTTTCAACCGGAAGCCCTTCAAAAAACAGCAAAATCGGCTCAATGATGATCTAAAACTAACATCGAAATACGCGGTCGCCTTATAGCGCTATAAGCGCTTGTCGTTTCGAGCCGCTGGTTAGGCATCACTAAGTGACGTCACCCACGGAGCATGCAGGCCTTGTTGTATCGGTGGTAACGGTCTAACTCATTACTTATTTCCAGATTTTTTCATCTCCTTCGTATACCACATTACGTATGGGTCGATTTCGGTTCAACAAGATGCAGACAGTTCATGAATTCAATAAACTACCTGATAATATAAAAAATTGCAGAAATATAGGTATATTCAAAAATGAATTAAAAAAACTGATTATTTCTCAGCGGACTGGATAAAATTAATCATGCCATTTTTTTTTTTTTTTTTTTTACAAATATTATTCTTCGTTTGCCAATTTACAGTTGTTGATATATTTTGAATGATGCTATGTTCACCTATAGGTATATAATTATGTACTTTCTTATACCAGAGCCTATTCTGTCTGGAAGTTATTCGTTCAATAAATAAATAAATAAATTGTTTTGAGGGATACCGAATAATATGTTCTTCATAAATTGAATGAAAAAATCTGTCAGTCACTCTAATCGCGTTTGTTTGTGATTCGCTGGTGAAAGAATTGTGTAGGAACGAATAAAACGGCAAAAAATGAAGAATGAAATTGATGTGATGACAGCCGTGTGAAAACCTTATGCAATCAAAATGACATAATAATCATCAATAAAAAACATCGAAGTTTAGATTAGATCAATTTTTGGATCTCTGGGATTGGATCCATGGATTGATATTGATGATACATAATGAATGATGGTTTTGATGGTTTTGGTAAATACGTGCGGGCTGTGAGGTAGGCACGTGGACATTTCTAACTATGACTAATCAATAATCATCTCCTAGGAATCGGTGTTATTCGATATTATTTAATTTTGATGTCATGGATCAAAAGAAGTGGGGTGGTAGGGGGGGGGGAGGTCATTTCCAATCAAACTAACCGTATATATGGTTATCCAATTGTTGATGGTTCAAAAGTTATCAATGTTTTTTTATTTCTATAAAAAGAATTAATTTCAATAAAACTATGTCACATTTGTGTTTTTTTCTTCCACAAATTTCGTCCACATGGATGTACTTTTCCTTAGAAATAATTTTATGACATGTATCATTTCTTATTAATTACCTCAGAAAAATGTTGTTTTCCTTGAGTTTTGTCATCGAATGAAATATTTAAGTCGATTTTCAAATGCCGCTAGCAGATTTGAAAACTACCACACAAATATATAAACAATCATAAGGAAAAGTTGCCCATTTGATACAGATTTCGAAATGGTATAACATATGAGGTTATTCAAAACAGCCTTTCTGTTATTAATTTTTTTACTTTGACCCCCAATACCACCCCACTTCTTTTGATCCATTACTTATGGGACACCCTCTATATTAATGGAGGATATTGTAGTGGATCATGCAGTGAGCACCATATTATGGAAATGGAAAGTGCATTGAAATTTATATTTGTTTCCTACCTAGCGACATTCTCCAGGAAATAATGGATTCATGAGATGACAAAATTGAATCCAGGATGATGAGTGTTTCACACTGACCTTTTTCAGAATATGCTATGAAGAAGTTCAAAAAATTTAATTTTTTCATGAGATTGTTATATCAAGATTCAATACAAAGACATTTCAGAGCCATTTCAGACTGACTCCTGAATATTTCCATGAGTTATGCACATTTTTCCTCTTTTGTTGGCTCATCTTTTCCAACAGTAGGTACCTACCTATTCCTTATTCCGTATCTACTATTTCTATTCTACAAAATTTTGATCACAACAAAATTATTATGATGCATGTCAAATACCCTTATTTGTCAAACATTCCAAACATTCCACCACGCATTCGATGTTCTGAGACCGAATGGCCAGTGCCACCAGGAAGAAAAAAAATTCCACAGAAGAGTCAATTCAACAGCGATTCTGTCCCATTGGTGACACTAGCAATGCCAATAAAACGCAACTTCTATTACGTATTATACTCACCTCCTGGCTCTTCCTGAGCTATAGGTTGTCCAGTTCCATCTATAGTCACTGCCCCTATTACTGATTCTTTCTCTTCAGCTGATGCGAATTCCTTGCCGACAGCCGATGTCTCATCAGTCTCCATACCTCCCTCTGTAACCCTATCACCAATAGGCACCACCGCACTCTTGGTACTTCTGGCAGTTCCCAAAGATACTCCTGATGGTTTGATCGCAGATGCACTTGCATCTACAAGTTTGTTTGTTGTCGTTTGTTGTTCACTTTCGACCATTTCCGATTTTTCGGAAATGTCTTCCAGTTTTTGGCCAGCTACTGGGAGAATAGATTCTTGTTGATCACTAATTTCATGTCCTCCTAGAGCAACTTCTTGGTCAAGAAGTGCATCATCATCTTGTGCTGATGTCTTCTGACTTTGTTTTTCACTTATAAGGGTCCCTGCTTGCCCACTTCCGGTGAAATCATCTGATGCCACTTCTTGTCCAACTTGTTCAGATGGAACATTACCATAAGCGCTAGTTCTGGGTGTGATTCCTTCCAATTCCTTTCCGGATGCACCAACGGGAGTAGCAATGGCTGATTCTGTGTCACCTATTGGTTTCGCTGTCGATGAAATATTGTCTTCGTTATCTGTTGTTCTTGATGATAATTCATCAAATGGTTTTGCAGGAGACATTCCTTCGGCATTTGATTTCGAAGTCGTTTCATCAGTGGTGAATCTTTCTCCAGTGCTAACTTCAGATTTTCGTCCAGAGCTAGAATCAAATCCAGGTGGAACTGGAAGTTCGCTATCCTTTCGGATAGCATCTGTCATGTAACTTGATGATGTGAGTTGAGTCTCATCAGGACTAGGAATTATTCGTTCGATTGATAAGGAATGTGAATATTGCGTTATCATGGAGGCTGTTGTATCTTTGCGTTGAGAAGACGATTCTTTGTCGCTTGCATACTCCGAATCTTTTTGATTCGAAGCACCTGCAATGAAAAAGTGATCAAAAATGTGTGCAAACATTCAAATATCAGATTTGATAGGGTATAGATACGAAATTGTAAAAACTACGCTAACATATGATACAAAGCACCAAGAAGAACTCGAAAATGCCTAATTATCTTCCATCCCCTTATTTTTCTATACTTATTAATGGTAACGCATTTTTTTCCTGAACGTATTAGGTTAAAACAACGACATAAAAATTCTTACAAATTTTACAAATAACCCTACACCTTTTCATCCTTAACCTAAACGAATTTTCAACGTCTCGACTGTTCTGCTAACTATGTGAACATCTTCAGAAAAAGACTGACACCAAATATCATATTTAAAAATGCTACTTATATAGGTACTATATTGTAATGATATTCCCCTTATAGACTGTTGGCCCGCGACACAGGGTTTATCGATGTTCTAAGTCGGTATGCCATTTAAGGGACCCACTCACTCAGTCCGAGTTAACAATAAGAAGTGCCTCGGAGAGTCGCAACCTAGTCCTTGCCCCGGTCCTGACCTCACCTTTCGGTTGGAAAAAAGTTCAAAATTGTGTTTAAGAAGAAGCTCGGTACTGAAGTGCAATGATCTTATCTCACGAAAATTGGGGCGCTTGCCGGTTTGCATACGCATAGGTCACTCCCCAAGGGCGGCATACGAAGCGGAAGTGGTAATTTTTCAGTGTTATAGTCGATGATCAAAAAATGTATGCCCTTTGGCGAAAAAATGCATTCTGACCCATTTATCAGTTTCCCGACATTTGCATACGATTCCGAAGAGGGGAGCTCGATTTATTCGAACATCATTTGACTGGATATTCTTCAAATAATCGATAATCTAAGAAATGTTCAAATTTTGACAATGGTTAGTGGACCACATACAGTATATATGAGATGATGGTTTGCATACAATTTGCACATTCCGTACAGGGTGTTTCATCATAAATATTTCCCATTGTAACTTAGTTGTTTCTGAACCGATTTGATAATTCCAAAAACCAACTAAAATGATTTTCCTAATAGATTTTTCATTGTTATCAAAAAATTCACAGGCTGTTCATAACAAATGAACTATGGGATAGTGGTTGATTTTTTTTACTGGAACACTTTATTTTATTTCACTATCGAGTTGAGATTATCATGACGAATACAGCTCTACAGCATCTAGCGATATCATTTACACGCAGTACTCTTATAGCAATCATGCGCCAAATTGTAAAATTGTGCCAGAAATATGAATCCCGGGTTTGAAGTATTTCCTTTTTTTTTTGCTGAAACAATTTTCATATCTGAACAATAATTTGCTGCGTCAGCCGGGTAGAGTGTAGCACGTAATGATTTAGGCATTCAATAATGTTCTTCCCTTTTATCGGAGATCCGATATTTAAATATCTGAAAAACCATTTACTTTTGTATAATGTATATTACAGATTTATTCACTTCTTACTGCCTGTATGAATCGGATTACCAGTAACCCTGTATATAAGTGCAGCGTGTGATCTTATCGCTAAAGGCCAGTCTACTATACTATAATATACTAAACTATACTGGGTTTGATGAAGTTATGTAATTGTCAGTTACATAAAAATGAATGGAGGGGGCTGGGTCCTTGATACTTTTTTTGAGTACGATTTCAATTGGTACCTTGGTGAAGCTCTTCCAGAAGAGGTTGGTGATATCATAATCTCTGAGACTTCAACTGAGGAAGTATCAGATATATCTTTCGAGCATGCCAAGATCTTTCAATAATTAAATAATATTCTCACTAACAGGTACTGATGACAACTCTGGAGAATCATCTTCAGACAGCGAGAGCGAAGATGACTCTGAAGATAATGATAGAGAGGACGACGTATAATTTTTCTTTTGAAACATAATGTTGTTTTCATTCAATATAATTTCATTTTCAAATAACATTTTTTATGTGAAAAACAAAGATGTAGATTAAAGTTCAGGATACAGACCCCATATACTGTACCCAAAACATTCAACAAATTGAATGTACATTCTTTATATATTTTTCAGACGCCAGTATTATGATAAGCAGTCCCATAAGCCCCAGGGAAGAATTTCAATTCGATTTATTGTGAGTTTCGATCATGAGCAATAATCCACTCCTCTTCTTCCTGTACGATTCCTCTCTTGATCATCCTGCGAGTATCTTGTTGTCATTTCTTTTCATCATCTTCTCAAAGCCCTGTTTTACAAATTAAAATCACACGAACAAATTTCTTGGTACTAAACCTCTCACACATGTAATTTTGTTGAGCTGTAAATTTCTGATGAATGAATACAAATATATCTGCAATCTGCTTCTTCGGATATCCCCATCACTCCAAGGAAGTTTCTCTTCGACCCGGTTTCATGTGAAGTGAGATAATGAGACTTCCCGATTATCTAGTTCGCTTTCGGTGCACCTCTGGCCTGAAGTGCGAGTCGCCGCGCCGGACCGAGTCACGCGCGGGTTTGCCCGATTATTACAACGTATGCTCACATTGAATTTGTATGCAAATAGCAGCCAGTTATGAAGAATATCTTAGTTTATCGGTCTAGAGATTTGCATACGAACTTAAATCATCGATTATTTGAAAGATGTCTAGTCAATTGATGTTCGAATAAGTCGAGCTCCCCTCTCCGGAATCGTATGCAAATGTCGGGAAACTGATTAATGGGTCAGAATTCATTGTTTTGCCAAAGGGCATACATTTTTCGATCATCGACTATAACACTGGAAAATTGTCACTTCCGGTTCGTATGCCGCCCTTGGGGAGTGACCTAGGCGTATGCAAACCGGCAAGCGCCCCAATTTTCGTGAGATAAGATCATTGCACTTCATTGCCGAGCTTCTTCTTGAACAAAATTTTGAACTTTCTTCCAACTGAAAGGTGAGGTCAGGGCCGGGGCAAGGACTGGGTTGCGACTCTCCGAGGCACTCCTTCCTGTTAACTTGGACTAAGTGAGTGGGTCCCTTAAATGGCATACCGACTTAGAACATCGATAAACCCTGTGTCGCGGGCCAACAGTCTATTAGAGGTGCTCCATATTGTGAATATGAAGAAATATTGAAAAATAATAATTGATTGTTACAAAAAAAACAAAATAAATCCTCCCATGGCATTTAATTGATCTGACGTGCAAAACAATTGTTGTCATGTCAATCAAAACACAAATTAATTAGTGTAATTCTCAGAGTGACAGACAGAGCGTTACTGTCATTTTCGATTCAGTGGAATTGCGATGAAAAACTTTCACATACAGATGCGATACAGATGAGTTATTGCCAACGAAGTCTTAAGAAAGGTATGAGAAGCACTACTCGGGATTTATTGAATGGTGCAATAGTAAAAAAGTGAAAGCACCTGATAAAGAAGAAGTATTTTTGGCTCATTTCCTAGAAATGTCTGAATCCTAGAGGCCAAACACCATGGGCATGCTGGCTTCCGCAATAAGCTTACCTACATAATGCTTTAAACGGTACACACAATAGATATATCACCAATTATTAGAAGATAGAGAATATATCACTATTGTCAGTTTTTCCTATTTGCAGGACTAATTGATTGAATGAATCGATCAATTTCTCACACTTCTAAAAAAAATATTGTTCCTAACTCATGCGGAAAGTTTCTTTCCACACTAGACTGCTTGCCCGAACTCCGCTTCGCGTCGTTCGTGTCAACGGCATTCGCATGCGGGAAAGTATCACTTTCCGCACCGTTTAGGAAAATTATTATTTTCTTGCAACATAGTTTTTCCTGAGAGGCATACATTTTGTTACTTGTCCTCGAAATAACAAGACTTAAGTCAACTTGAGGTCAGAGTAGGTTGTCGATTATTATAGCATACTTACCATCAGTATATTCAGCTTCTTGGATAGATTCCTGTTCTTTTTCGAATTGTATTCTTGCTTCAGGATAACGATCCGTTGTATCAGATTTTGGTTTCTTCAATCCAGAACTACTTTCCTTCAGTGCTTCGGTGATGGCCGAACTTGTGAGTTCCTCTCTAGTTTGTGGACCGCCCACATCATCAACTTCTGTGATTTGTGTGATCACCTAAATGTGTTATGTGGTCGAAATTAGGAATAAGTGGAGTGAAGTAAAATATAAAAAATTGGAAGTTGTTCGAACAAATGGAATATCCCGAAATGAGCCTCTTCAGATCCCAATTAATTGTGTTCGGTCCTGTTTCTCTTTACATACCACACCCACTAACACTTTGACATCATTAAAACACCGTAGAATATCCGGCGACCTTTCACTATTTCATATATACTTCCACGAGAAATGTCCTTCAGAAATCTCTGCTCTATCATTCCACGACTAGCAATACCAGCCAGACGAACTCGACAAGCGCAGTCAGCACATCCTTAGTTGTCAACTTCGAAATATGTCGAACAGCACTATATCAAAACTCGTTCCTCTATAGAACGGAAAAACTCTGGAATTCATCGCCTAAGAAAATCATTCCAAGAACTTACAATCCCCGAAAGTTCTCTCCCTATCCTCCCTAAGTACGCACATTATATAAGGATTCTCTTTCGTGCGCACTAAGCGATAAAAAATCAGGTAGATCAAATCTACGATCAAACAACTCCCAGTATTTCTCGTTATTCACGTACCTGGATGGATTCGATATTTACTTATAAACATTAGTATTCAATTTCAACGTGTTAATAGATGACCCTCAGTCAGACGTTAGTCAGAAGCACCGAACATAAACAAAGACAGTAAACTGGAATACTGTAGTCGAATTTGGAATCCATATATCCATTAAACAATTTCAGCAATTGAGATGGTTACAGAGGATAAAGTTCTTAAAATACCTATTCCACAAAAAATACAAACGCTACCCTGAAAGAAATTATAGTTATGAACTCCTTATTCTGAACGAATTCAAGTTTCATCACTGACAAAGAAAAGAGATATCGGTGACCCATTATTCATACATAAGATTATTCATAATTCCATAGATTCTGCGACATTACGATTTCACTAATTGATTTAACATACCACGACTAGCCTCCCGGTATCATAATACTTTCCACCTCAACACTCCAAATGCACAACATAAATTTCATTCTCCAATAAACTCAATGTGCAGAAATTGTAATGAACTTGCGACAGTCGATATTTTCTCCCTCACATAAAATCAATTCAGAGAAACCATTTTCAATTTACTCTCTGACTAACTAATGAACGTATCATTATTTACTTTTTTCATGATTTGAATTTATGTAATTCCAGTCACGACCCTGCGGCCTCCGACGCCACGCAGAGTCGTGATGAATAAAATCCAGTGACTACTCCCCACAGCCTGTGAGGTGAATAATCACTGGCACCAAGAACCGTGTGCCCTGAGTAAACGTTATGATCCAAGTATGACGGCCTTCTGCATTCCACCAGCCAGAATGTGTGCTTTATCGCTGCACGCTGGGATTTTCTGGATTTCCGAGAGCAGCGTGTGTCGTGTGCCTCCTAGGGAGCCGATTATCAGGATGACCAATTCCACATCAGAATGGTCTGGATAGAGCCTGCGGAGTTCGAAGAGAAGATCTCGATATTTAGTCCGTTTCTTCTCCTCCTTCAAAACGATGTTCGGTTCGGCTGGCGCCGAAAACTCGATCACGAACATCGCTTTGGTTTGATGGTCGAGGAGGACTACATCAGGCTTGTTAGCTTGTATTTGCCTGAGGGTGGAGAATGAGAAGTTCCAATAAATTCGGCACCTCTCATTTTCCACAACGGACTCAATATCCCCCGGAGCATAGGGCAGCACTGGGGTCTCGTCTATTCCGTACGAGTGCCTCAAGTGATAATAGAGCACTCGCAATGCCGCATTGTGTCTATGAATATCTTACTTTTTTCATGATTATTATTATCTTCATTATTATTATTGATATTATTATTATTTTAACTACTATATTGTTACTATGATTATCATTATCTTTTCAACCACATGTTGTAATCTATAATAAGTACTCCTATAATTGGGCTTATGCCTGCTGGATGTATATTCAATAAATAAATAAATAAATGAATCACGTCACCTCTGTTAGAATTTCCGTGCGGAAGACACAATCACATGGAGTTGAATCATCCAAATTGTTTTGAAGTGGTGTAGTTGATTTTTCTGTTGATTTAATGTGACTATTGTATGTACTACATTCTGATGATAGTCGTTTTGTCGAAACCGACAATTATTTCATAATTTTATACATGAAGTTTGGTCGACCAACTTTTTGTCTTTTTTTGAATGATATCTATCATGGTTATAGATTTATCTGAACAATTGTCTCAAATGGACTATTCGACATCCTCGCTGGACATTTACATCAAATTTTGGAGTTGAATTTTTCGGTTCTTCTAGAAAAAAGTGTATCTTTATGAGTTTCAATACTTGGTGCATTTTCCTACAAAATTGCATCCTTTCTCATGTTTTCGAGAAATATTTCGAACAGTTTCATCAGCACCCTGGTTTTTATGGAAAATCACACATCAATACCCCTTAACGATGCCACTGGGAATCAGGTTGACTTAATGATGTGTGGCTACTAATTAATGGGACTCATGCCCGAACACATATCTGTACCGATGTTTATCATCTTGAAACACAGGGTGTCCTATAAAACGAAATAGGCAATAGCAAACAACTACCTACTTTTCTTGCTATTCGCCTTGCCGAATATTACTGTTGAACACCTAAGATGAGGATATGGAAATTAAAATCTTCTGCACTTTAAATTCTCTCAAAAATCATTCGTTTTACTGACTTTGAATTTTTCTCTTGGTGTTTCCCAGTGACAGATGTTGATACAAGAGAGTAAGGTGATTGACAGGATGTTTTTAATAATTATCGCGAATTCAATAAAATGCAAGCGAATTCTTTTTTTTCTTTTTCGATCATTTTTTATATATTTTGGAGTGCACGAAAAAATAACCACATCATGTTTGGATATTTGGATTTCAGTTAGAGAACTTGGTAAACAAAATGTGTTTGGGGTGGTATACCGGCCACCCAAGGCAAATATCTCCGTCTCTCTCACTGCACTCGAAGATATAGTATCAAATCTGTTAACAAACTGTGATTCCTTGAACTTAGTTGGTGATATGAATATTAATTTACTGTCGGTTGATAACTCTGTGGAAATGTTCTCGAACTTTCTCCAAAGATTCAATCTCTCTCAGCTCATTGATGTGCCTACTAGAATAACGCTTAATAGCCAGACCCTATTAGATATATTGGTAACTTCTGAGAAAGATGATATGCAATCCATTAAAGTTCTTGATTTAGGTATTTCAGATCACCTAGCAGTCACATGCGTTATCAACTCATTAAAGATAACACATAAATACAAAACAGTTTGCTACAGAGATTTCAGGCAGTTCAACGAAGAATATTTTATGCATGATCTTCACGCTATTAACTGGAATGATATCTTTGATTTCGAGACAGTCAGTGAAATGGTTGAATTTTTAAATATCAATATTTTAAATCTCTTCAATGTCCATGCCCCAATCAGATGTATAAGAACCACTAAACCCCCTTCTCCATGGCTCACATACAATATCAAAGAAATTATCAAACTGAGGGACAAAGCTCTGAAAAAATTTAAAGTCACGAAATCTCATATCGACTGGACAAGTTACAAAGATCTCCGTAATTATACGACTGGTGCAATTCGTCGAGAAAAGAAAGCCTACTTGGAGTTTATCATGAGAAACAAAAACCCTAGTTCGATATGGAAATCATTGAGGGCAATGGACATACTGAAAAATAAAAGTAAAAATTCAAACTTACCACCTAATTTATCGAACCTAGATATCATAAATGAACATTTCACAAATACTGATCATCCAGCTACAACAGATCTGCACAGAACACTCCTTGATAGTTATAATCATATTCCCAATGATGCGCCAACTTTCGGCTTTTCTAGAATAACTCCTAATCAAGCACAACGATATCTAGATCGTGTGAAAAGTAACTGTGCTGGATCCGACGGCATTACACTCGTCATGTTACATTATGTTGAACACTATCTCATTGATCACATCACACATATTTTTAATTCTATAATAGTAACGAATAATTTTCCATCAGAATGGAAGCAAGCAATTGTACTACCATTACAAAAATGTGAAAATCCAACTGAACTATCTCAGCTGAGACCGATAAGCAAACTACCCATCTTATCTAAAGCATTCGAACTCATTTTGAAAGATCAAATGGACGCATTTGTGTATAACAATAACATCATTTCCAATGTTCAATCCGGTTTCCGTGCATCTCATAGCACTACTACAGCTCTTATCAACATCACACAAGATATATTCAAAGCAACTGATGGAAGTGAACTAACTTCAATGGTGCTCCTGGACTACAGTAAAGCATTCGACACATTGGACCATGATATTCTGTGTAACAAGCTGAGATACTTTGGATTCAGTGAGGAAGCCTCTAGGCTGCTGAGAAATTATTTGAAAAATCGATCACAAATTGTATCTCTTAATGGAGAATGCTCGAGTGCTTTACCAGTCAATCTTGGAGTACCACAGGGATCTATACTTGGACCTCTTTTGTTTTCGTTATATATATGCGATTTCCACCAGATTATTAACCATTGTACTATGCATCATTATGCAGACGATACTCAGCTGTATTATTCATTTTCGTACCATAACTGGGATGTTGCAGTAGACATTGTCAATGAAGATCTACAGAACCTCTTGAATATTTCAACAGCCCATAATTTAAAGTTGAATCCAAAGAAGTCCCAGTCAATCCTCTTTGGTCCCAAACATAAACGGTTGGAAATTGAAGAATTATTTCGTATCAAGCTCAATCGAGTTGAAATTCCTATTGTCAAAGAGAGTAAAAATTTGGGTTTGTGGCTTGATTCTGATCTCAGATTCCACAAACATGTTAATTCACTCTGTCAGAGTTCATACAATATTCTTCGCCAACTATATCAGAGTAGAGATATCATGTCCTCAAAACTCAAACTGAAACTCTGTGATACACTGATACTTTCAAGACTATCATATTGTGATAT